TCTTTAATTAATGTTTTGTAAACATTAAGGCCAATTATTATAAATTATGTACTCTATTTTTCCTAGTCTCAAACACGGTCTGGCATGCAACAGATGCTCAATAAATGTTTCTTGAATTGCATTGCTCAGGGATTTGCTCCAGCCTACTGGGCTTGCTGGTGTTCTCTGCTACAACTACATAATACTAATATTAGCTATCATTTATTTAATACTTTTAATACTTATCATGTGCCAGGTACTGTGTAAAGCCCTTACCTATCAGGGTTTGGGCTATAATTCCAAAAGACACAATTCTGAACACATAATCCCTAATGTTGAAATCATAAAAGATTAAAAAATCTCTGAAGTCTAAACTCCTGAAAATCACAATTCCAAAAAATCAAAATCCTAAAATTATAATTCTGAAAAAATAATTTTAAAAGTTCTTTAAAAGATATTAATTTACATTTTTAAAAGAAGTTTGAGAAACATAAAAACACAACAGAACACTTCATAGGCCACTTTACACTATAAAATAGGCAATAATAACATACATAATTTTGCAAGCTTAAGCACTTAGGTATACTAACAATAGTCACACAAGTATAGCAGTTATGAGCAGACAAATCATATTCATAAAGAAATATTATAGCTTATATAACTGCAGTCATCTGAAATACCACAATGGACAACCTTATTTTTTTGATGAGATCGATCAAAAATACAATGGATCACTATCACATATACAATCACCTAAAGAGCTGAGATCTTGAGAAATTTTATCTTTCACAAATGCAAATGTACAAAAAGAACATCTCTTCCTTTATGGAGAATGTTTCAGTGTTTTTCTATATATGCACAATGCTTGCACACAAAGTCAGCATTGTGATAATGCACTTTCATGGAGTCAAATTTGCAAAAACTGTATAAAATGAATTAGAACTCTCTAAAAGTCTTCACACAATTTATACCTCCAGGACTGAAAATATAGTGAAGATAAAATACATACTATAGCAAATTGTAAAAAAATAATGCTGATGATTTAAAATAGTGGGAAGGCCGGGCGCAGTGGCTCACGCCTGTAATCCTGGCACTCTGGGAGGCCAAGGCGGGCGGATTGCTCAAGGTCGGGAGTTCGAAACCAGCCTGAGCGAGACCCCGTCTCTACTAAAAATCGAAAGAAATTAATTGACCAACTAAAAGTATATATACAAAAAATTAGCTAGGCATGGTGGCGCATGCCTGTAGTCCCAGCTACTCGGGAGGCTGAGGCAGGAGGATCGCTTGAGCCCAGGAGTTTGAGGCTGCTGTGAGCTAGGCTGACGCCACAGCACTCACTCTAGCCTGGGCAACAAAAGTGAGACTCTGTCTCAAAAAAAATAAATAAATAAATAAATAAAATAAAATAGTGGGAAAAAAACTAAAACAAAGAAAACCTAAAACCCACAAAAACTAAAAAGAAAATTAAGGCCGGGCATGGTGGCTCATGCCTGTAATCGTAGCACTCTGAGAGGGCAAGGCAGGAGGATCACTTGAGGCCAGGAGTTCAAGACCAGCCTCAGCAAGTGTGAGACACCCTTCCCCCATCTACCCCCTCACATATCTACAAAAAATAGAAAAATCAGCCAGGTATGATGGCATGTACCTATAGTCCCAGGTACTTGGAGGCTGAGGCAGGAGGATCACTTGAACCCCAGAGTTTGAGGTTGCCGTGAGCTCTGAGCAGTGAGCTGCACTCAAACCTGGGTGACAGAAAAAGACTCTGTCCCAAAAAAAAGAAAAAGGAAAATTAGACATATGAAAAAATGCATTTACAGGGATGAACTATGGGTAATTGCACAGAAGTAATCCATAAAAGTTGGCCAACTTTTAAACTCATTATATTTTGAAGTCTTACATCTGATGAATAACTACATTTTTCTTTTAGGGTATGACTTTCCTCAGAAAATACATTCACATTCATTTTCTACGTGGCACTGCTTTTTTTAGAACTCTTATTTGATTCGATATACACCGACATGAGCATTCCCTATTAAATTTTCCCATCTTCTGTGCCATGTTTCTATGTTGTTTGGGGTATATGGAAATCCATTTCAAATGCACTGACATAAAGACCACAAATTTGGCAGAAACCATAATGGTGATCAAATGCAAGACCATTGCATGAGTTTCTTATCCTACCATGCACATAATTATTTTTTAACCAGTCAATAACTTTACTGGCTTCTTCAGGCAAATATGACTTTAATTGATTATACACTCCTGGAATTTCATCAGCTGAAAGGAATGCCAGGACAGACAAATAACATTTTTAAACTGAAGTTTTCATCATTGCTATATTGTGTGGCCAATCCACTCATCTGATTTTTCTGACAAATCCATTGGGCTGAATGGAAAAAGCAAATTTTATTGGGAACGCACTGAAATTCACTTTTAGAAGACTTGCTCATACTCAATTCCAAAGTATCGTTATAGTCTGGGGATTCAATTAGACATTCAAAATTTTAGACTTTAGGAATTTAGCCTTTAGGGATTGTGAGCTTTTGAGATTTTTATCTTTTGGGATTTCAACATTCAGGATTATTGCCTTCTGGATTGTGTTTTTAGGATTATGATCAGCACCATATCTATAATATCTTGTTTAATCCCTACAAGGGTATTTTGAGAGATGTGTTGTTATTGTTGCTTTTACACTTACAAATGAGTAATAAAACTTAGAGAGGTTATATATGTGGTAAGTAGCAGAGTTTAAATATATACCTAGGGTTTTGTTTTCTATCCTATACTGTGTTGTGCAATCAAGACAGTGCCCACAGCAATAAATCAGTATTTTTAGTGCACATTATTTCTGCTCCAACTCCTTTTTTAACTGATAAAGGCATCTAGGGCAAGTTCTTTTTTTTTTTTTTTTTTTTGAGACAGAGTCTCACTCTGTTGCCTGGGCTAGAGTGCCATGGCATCAGCCTAGCTCACAACAACCTCAAACTCCTGGGCTCAGGCGATCCTTCTGCCTCAGCCTCCCGAGTGGCTGGGACTACAGGCATGCACCACCATGCCTGGCTAATTTTTTTTTTCCTATATATTTTTAGTTGTCCAATTAATTTCTTTCTCTTTTTTGTAAAGATGGGGCGGGGGTCTCACTCTTGCTCTGGCTGGTTTCGAACTCCTGACCTTGAGCGATCCACTGGCCTCTGCCTCCCAGAGTGCTAGGATTACCTGCGTGAGCCACTACGCCCAGTCTAGGGCAAGTTCTTAAATATCTCTAAGGGTCTCTTGGTCTCTTCACCTATAGAATGGGAGTTAGATGAAATTAACTCCTTGGTCCCTTCCAACTTTAAAATTATGTGCATCTGTGAGTTCCTAGTCTTTCAAGCTTTTGATTAAGCAACAAGCATCTGCTTCTGCATTTCTGTTTATTTCATACTATGGTTGTATCAAAGCAACATAAAACAGTTTCAGTTTTCCTAATTTCTTTTCTTGAAACCACCTTATTTAACTTGAAATATGAAACATGATCTGACTAGAGCCATATCACCAAAGCCACAGAAGAAAAGTTGCTTCCTCCAACACACTCTGTATGTTTCCTAACAGGGGAAACATTACCTGTGGGACAAAAATACTCATTTGAGTATTAACTCTCCAAAAAGAGTTATGGAAGAACTAAATTTTAGGCTACCTAATGGGGGCACTAGCCCTAGTGCATGTTTAGAGAGAGGGGGATTAAGTACAAGTTCCTATTATATTTGTTATTTATGAACTCTACTAATTGTAGAATTAAGAAGTATAGAATGGAGGGAGAAGAGGAAGCACCTGGTTCACATTCCTTTTTTTATTGATGAGGTAGTGTGAGAAGCAGCCCTCTTGAAAAGCAACCCTCTTGGCTCTCTTCTTGGTAAAAAGCTACTATAATTAACTTACCCACTCTGTGTCTCAGTTTACTAATTTCAGAATTAGTGGGTTTGGACCAAATAATATTCCAGGTTGCTTCTGAACCTGTGAATTAATCCAAAAGGTATGAAAAATTGGCAAGAAATCTTTTTTAAAATACAGCAGCAAGTTTGAAACTCTTCCTTAATCTACAAAGATCAGTTCTTAGGTTGAAGGTCACAGCCACAGTTGAATTAAGAACTGACATTTAAGCCTATTTTTAATGATGCTACAGTCTAGCAGTGAAAGGTTTAAAATTCTAGGCCTAACACAGACAGAGTAAAGGTTTTGATTCCCAAGCCCTTCAGCACTGAAGCTACACAGCAGTTTTGATGTATTCTCTCCACTGGGGTCGCAGAGACGAGGAGGAATCAAGCAGGAAAGAAATCAGGACACTGAGGTCAGCACAGGGGTAGATCCAAAAAAATTTCAGAGATGGATTAGATAAAGGAAAGAGAATAGGAAATGTAGGACTCAGTGAGTAACAGTTCACAAATCCTGTGTAGTGGGATTTCTTATAATGAGATCATCTTTCAGGATGTGGCAACCAATTCTGTTTTTCCAACCACTCTCAACAATTGTACAAATGCAGATCATTCTGCCTGTTGGTCTTTATCTTTCCAAACTAAACAATATAAATCTTTTGCCTGTCCTCATACATTCCATTTAAATGTGATATTCAGTGTTTAAGGTTTTTTTCCTAACCATTTTCTCTCCAAAAAGAATAGGTGGCTCATTTGCAAGATTCTTTTTTTGCCCACGCTTGCTATTTACCATCTCCTTGTGTACCCAACACCATTTGTGCATATACTAATGGACACCCTAGAATTGAGGCAGAGTGGATGCCTGGTGGGATGACCAAATATTTTAATCAGCATTTTAACACTGGAAACAAGCTTAGTAACCTTAAAAGGAATGACTTTGCTTATGAAATTTTTAAAATCCCTTCTCAAAATGGAGACACAATTTGAAGAAGTACTGTTATCTCTACTTCCGCCTCTATAGCAGTACATTCTGCAGAAAAAGGAACCAAGAAGAGCGAAAAGACCTCATTGAATATTTAAATAGTGGGTTCAAGGTTAGGGAGTAGCATCAGCAAGAAGAACGGCAGATGCGATGAAGGTAAAGTGTCGCTGATTTTAACCTCTGTTCTTAGAGAAGAGCTTGATGACGTAGAGTCACTTTGGCCTGCTGGAGACCCAACTGGCATGAAGATACAGCTCCAAGGTAAGACTTCCTAGTCTAGCAGGTTGATTCTCGTACTATCATCTGAACATACCCTGTTGGCTTATTCCCGATCAGCTTCCTGAGGTTCCTGCTGCCCTCCCCCACAACAGCAGCTCGTGTCCACAAGTGGAGGTGAGGCCTTCCTGAAAGCCATTTGTGCCAAAGGTATCATTACATCAAAGCCTCAAAATAGCTCTAAATAAAAGAGCTCTGTTCAAATATACGGACACTTAAATTTTTCAGGAATTCCTGAAAGTACTATAGAATTCAGCACAGATGCTTTGGGGAGGAAAGAAATGTAGCCTGCAGCATTAAAAGGGCAAAATGAGGCTCTTACTGTCCATACTAGAACAAGTTGAGCAAACTTTTTAAAAAAATTATCAAATGTATACTACGTGCCCTGATGAGAGATAAGTAATTTATATATATATTATCTCATTTAATCCTCACAAAATCTCATAGCGGTTTAGAAGTGAAAAAGGCTTAATGAGTTGAGTGTAAGGTCACAAAGCTGGTAGAGATAGAAGTAGGATCAAAACCCAGGTCTGTGGAATTACAGAGCCTGAACTCTGTCCATTAATTTTTACTAAAGTACTTTAAAACCATTTTAAAAGATGTTTAAGAATGAAGAAAATTCCTAGTTATGTGCAATGAATCAAAGGTCTTAGGAAACTTTATAGGATACTCAGAACCACTACCAACATTGACCAGAAAATTTGGACTTTGATTTTGCTCAAGTCCTACATTACTTTCAGGTGCCCTTCTAGAACTCAGCCACACAATTAAAAGAAAAATTTTCCCTAAAATTCAGATACCCAGTTTCTTATTTGTGTATACACAAAGAGACCACCCCACACACACACATCCATAAAAACATCACACATACACACATTCCACAGAAAAACATACACACACAGACATCACACACACAAATATGCCACAGACACACATACACAGACCACAGGCACACATACAAATACACACAGCTCTATGTACCTACCCCCATAGATAAAAACACACACCATAGATACACATAGAGACTGTACACCTACATATATACATGCAAATGCCCCACAGATACACAGAGAAACTACACACACACACACACACACACACACACAGATACACACACATATACTATACACACACAGTATTGGAAATTCTGCAGGGGATTTTGTTTCACCATGTCTATTCATGCTCCAATATCTATCCAGTTTCCACCATATTCATCATTTCATTCACATCTCACTTCCTGTTCCTGGTCTCTTCTCTTTGTCCCACTTTATCCCAACTAGGGAACCTAAGCTCTTTTCCTTTGATTCCCCACAACCACTACCAACACAAGATAGTTGTGGGTTAATGAGGAGAAGGGACATTACACCATATCAAAGCATAGCAAATGGATTATAATTGCGTATTAGACATTCTTGTTTTTAAACCCCCTGTGTCATTTCTGCTTTTTGGAATATCTCATTGACCCTTTCTCTTCCTCAGGCCTCCTAACCTCCTGCTGAGTTCTTCCTGTGCTCCTCTCTTAAAACCACCCTCACTCCTCCTCCCCCTTCTCCAGGTCCCAGGGCCATCACATGGCATCTTTCTCAAGTTCTCACTCGCTGTTGCCTATCCATTCCATACTCTTCAGACTCCTATTTTTACTCCCGAAGCAGACTACTACAGCATTTTCCTGAAGAATCATTTTTCTACTTTAGAGAAAAATTTTGCAACTCTCTTAGAAAGAAGAATTAACTTAAGGCAGTTGTGGTTTTAAATAGCAATTATTTTACTTCTTCTCCCTATATATTCTTAGAATAATTTGCTTGGTGAAGAAAAAAGCATCATTGGGCCAGGCGTGGTGGCTCATGCCTATAATCCTAGCACTCTGGGAGGCCGAGGCGGGAGGATCTTTTAAGCTGAGGAGTTCAAGACCAGCCTGAGCAAGAGCGAGACACTGTCTCTACTAAAAAAAATAGGACTAAATTAGCTGGACAACTAAATATATATATATATATATAAACAAAATTAGCTGGGCATAGTGGCACATGCCTGTAGTCATAGCTAGCTACTCAGGAGGCTGAGGCAGGAAGATCGCTTGAGCCCAGCAGTTTGAGGTTGCTGTGAGCTAGGCTGACGCCAAGGCACTCACTCTAGCCTAGGCAACAAAGCGAGACTCTGTCTCACAAAAAAAAAAAAAAAAAAAAAAAAAAGTTGTGCCCATCAAGAAGGGTCAGACTTCTGGTTAATGTTCAAATAGAAGGTTTATAGCTACCTAAGATAATTACTTAACAATTGTCAAAATGTCCCAACCTTTATTTCTCTTTCACATTTATTTCATTCCACATTTTATCTATAGTATTTCTTTCTTTTCTTTTTTCTTAAAGACCAGATCTCACTCTGTCACCCAGGCTGCAGTGCAGTGGCACGATCATAACTCACTATAGCCTTGAACTCCTAGGCTCAAGTGATGCTCTCACCTCAGCCTCCTGAGTAGCTGGGTTTATGGGTGTGCACCTGTAATCCTGACTGATTTTTTTTTTCTTTTTTAGAGTTTAGGTCTTTCTATGATGCCCAGTCTGGTCTCAAACTCCTGGCCTCAAGCAATCCTCCCACTTCTGCCTCCCAAATTGCTGAAATTACAGACATGAGCCATCATGCCAAACCTGTGTATTTCTGTTTGTGATGCTCAGATTAATCTGATCTTAATTCTTCATACAACATAACAGTATAGGCCTAGAAAAATATTTGGTTTGTATTATGAATTATTGTAGAAATATTATGTTTGCCACTGTTAAAATTTGTCGTTTGGACTATTACTATACAAAACTTACTATTTTAATTTCTACATTTAACCTTTTCTTTTGCTTTTTGTTTGTTTGTTTGTTTTTATTTTCACTGTTTCTCACTCTACAGGTAATTATGGATCTGATCAACTCTACTGATCACCTGACCAATGGCTCTACAAACAGCACATACTTTCCAGTTCCTCCATCAAAAATAATCATTGCCCTTCCTTTGTTTGTGTCATTTATAATTGGCACCATCACCAATGGCCTCTATCTATGGGTGCTAAATTTCAAGATGAAAAAGACTGTCAATACTCTCTTATTTTTTCATCTCATTCTCTCATATTTTATTTCAACATTGATTCTGCCATTTATAGCCACCTCCCAGCTTCAGAACAATCACTGGACCTTTGGAACTGCCTTGTGCAAGGTCTTCAATAGCACTTTGACTCTGGGGATGTTTTCCTCTGTTTTCTTCCTCTCCGCCATCAGTCTTGATCGTTATCTGCTCATTCTTCACCCTGTGTGGTCCCAGCAGCACCGAACCCCACGCTGGGCTTCTGGCATTGCGGTGGGGGTCTGGATCTCTGCCACTGCCCTCAGCATCCCCTATTTGGTGTTCAGGGAGACACATTATGACCAAAAAGGGAAGTTGGTCTGTGAAAATAACTATGTTGTGTCTATTAACTGGAAAAACAAGGAGATGCAAACTCTAAGTCAATGGATTCATACAGCCTGTTTCATCATCCGCTTCTTGATCGGCTTCCTTCTGCCTTTCTTCATCATCACCTTTTGTTACCAAAGAGTAGCCAGCACGATGAAAGAGAAGGGCCTGTTTAAATCCAGCAAGCCCTTTAAAGTCATGATGACGGCCATCATCTCTTTCTTTGTGTGTTGGATGCCCTACCATGTATACCAGGGCTTAATTCTCACTAAGAACCAATCACTGATTTTGGAGTTGACTATGATACTTACAGCACTAACCATTTCCTTCAATACTGTCTTTACTCCCACACTCTTCTTATTTATTGGGGAGAATTTCAAAAAGGTTTTTAAGAAGTCCATTCTTGCTCTGTTCGAGTCAGCATTTAATGAGGATTCTTCTGTAGAAAGAACACATTACGTAAATTCAGGAGCCTTAATTTAAATTCTAGAGCCTTAGGCAAACAAAGACTGTCAATTACACCACTATAGATATGCCCTTGCTTTTGTTTTTTTTTGTTTTTTTGGGTTTTTTTTTGAGACAGAGTCTTGCTGTGTTGCCCAGGCTAGAGTGAGTGCCGTGGCATCAGCCTAGCTCACAGCAACCTCAAACTGGGCTCAAGTGATCCTTCTGCCTCAGCCTCCCAAGTAGCTGGGACTACAGGCATGTGCCACCATGCCCGGCTAATTTTTTTTATATATACTAGTTGGCCAATTAATTTATTTCTATTTATAGTAGAGACGGGGGTCTCACTCTTGCTCAGGCTCGTTTCAAACTCCCGACCTCGAGGAATCCGCTGGCCTCGGCCTCCCAGAGTGCTAGGATTACAGGCGTGAGCCACCACGCCCGGCCTATGCCCTTTGCTTTTGTATGCTATAGTCTCTACATCAGAGAGACACCTGGGCTCTTCTATAGTTAGATCTCTGAACATTAAAAGGGCTGCAAGAAAACAAGCATTAGGTCATGTTGCTAATGTGAATTTTTTTACTCTTTTTTTAATTGTGGAAAAATATATGTAACATAAGATTTGCCATTTTCACCAATTTTAGTGTACATTTCAGTGACATTAATTATAGTATTTTCACAATGTTGTACAACCATCATTATTATCCATTTCCAGATTTTTTTCATTACACCCAAGAGAAACTCTGTACTCATTAAGTAATAACTCCCCATTCCACTTCCTCCCAGGCCCTAGTAACCTCCAATCTACTTTCTGTCCATGAATCTGCCTATTCTAGATATTCCATATAAGTAAAATCAAACAATATTTGTCATTTTGGGTCTGGCTTATTTCACTTACTATAATGTTTTGAAGATGCATCCATGTTGTAACAGGTATCAGAACTGCATTCCTTTTTATTGCTAAATTATATTTTATTGTATATATATATCACATTTTTTAATCCAGTCATCTGTTGATGGACATTTGGGTTGTTTCCACTTTTTGACTATTGTAAATAATGCTATTATGAACATTTGCATACAAGTATCTGTGTTAGTCCTTGTTTTCAATGATTTTAAGTATACACCTAAGAGTGGAAGTACTGGGTCAAATGGTAATTTTATGTTTAACTTTTTGAGGAACCATCAAGCTTTTCAGTTTGAACCATATTACTACACTTACACCAGCAATATACAAAGGTTTCAGTTTCCCATCATCCTCACCAATACTTGTTATTTTTCTTTTTTCAATTATAGTATGGTCATCATAGTAGATTAAAGTGGCACACATGTGATTCTTGAAGTTAAGATTACCAGTTGCTAAATGCCAATGGTATCCATGGATTTGAATTTTCTGTCACAGAATCTTCCAGCAAACAGCCATTTGGACAGAGATGGCTCTTTATTCAATAGCACCTAAATTAACTGGTATGGACAAAATTTAACATGGAGGTGATAAAGCACTCAACTGGTCATAGCCAAGTTAAAGTACAAAGATATTTCTAAATATCTAGAAACTAAAGTTTTAAGTATAAAGACATCTTAAATATCTCTTTTTAACACTTATAGATTAAGCTGTCTTTACAATTGGGAACTAAGACAATTATAATGTTCTTAAGATTCTTAAACATCTGCTTGTCATAGTATATGTAATTTTAGGATAGCAATAACATTAATTTGTCTTCCATGGTTTTCAAGTTTTGCTTGAAGTTTTTTGCAATACATTACAGCACCCATCTAAGTTATATAGGATCACATAGTATCACTGATGTATTATCTTTTTATTTATTAATATTAAGTTAGTTCCATCCATCTATCAGTAGATGTCAATCAATAGGTAGTTGAACTATCTAGTTCAATTGATCCAACATGGAGATATTTAGGTCACAACCCACACTAAGTCCCTAAATGTGCCACCTAACTTTACATGAACCATTCCAAACCACAGGTATATATCCTACCCAGAAATCCCCAAAATGAATGATATTAACTACAAGGATTACAGAAAGAAAGGGAAATTAACCATGACTGTTTATAGAAAGAAAGTTTTCATCTCAGTCAAGTTGAAGATAAAAAGAGAGAGAGAGAATGTAACAGTGGTTTGATGTCCTAGAAATCTTGCTAATTTGACTTGGCATCAGGGCTTCCCTGGGCAACTGGGGACTTGGTCTCTCTTACTTAGAATGTAACAAAAAGCTTTGAGTAGATTAAAACTTCAATTGCTGGCTCTTATTTCCAGCTTTTTGGAGCCTGAACAGTTTTTTCAGAAAGGGAGGGGTGGGGCTGACGACCAGGCTGTGGCTCTGAGTGGCCCTGCAATGAGAAGGGAACGGTACTTTTTCCATCCCCACACTCTGCCAGGGCCTGACAAGCTCATATTTCAGAACGAAAATTGAAGGGAACATAGGATTCTTTGAAACAAGATTTGGACTTTGGAAATCTAGCGGCTACAAAGAGTGCCTTCTGTCTCCCTCCTCAGACCTGCTATAATAACAAACGAGGAACATGCATTGAAATGTGTTAATTTTGTGGTGTTTATTAGCCATATGCTGTTGTTTCTTACTTTCTTATAGCTATGCATGTATGCTTTAAGTTGTGTTTTTCATGAGGCCTATTTTGGGACTCTTTCATATACTTTATTCCATCTCTCTGTAGATTGTAAACTTCTCAAGGACAGAGGAAGTTTACAGTATTTCTTTCTTTTTTTTTTTTTTTTTTTTTTTTTTTTTAGAGACAGGATCTTGCTCGGTCACCCAGGTTGGAGTGCAGTGACACGATCATAGCTCACTGCAACCTTGAATTCCTGGGCTCAAGCAATCCTCCCACCTCAGCCTCCAGAGTACCTGAGACTACAGGCGCATGTCACACTGCCCAACTGATTTTTCTTATATTTTTGTAGAGATGCAGGGTGGGGGGAGGTGTCTCACTATATTGCCCAGGCTGGTTTCAAACTCCCAGCCTCAAGCAATCCTCCTATCTCAGCCTCCCAAAATCGGTATTTATTTTTTATACCATTAAACACAATCGACAGCCAATAAAAGATATTTAATGAAAACTGAGTTTGGGCAATCACAATATGTAAAGCACTACATAAATATAGGATGTTGTTAATGAAAAACTGTGTTCTTTTCCTGCTTTATGTCGGCCACCAAGAAAGATCATCCAATGAGTAAGGCAGTCAGGTTTTAATTCAGTGGCCAATGAATGTAGAAGGGGAGCTTATGAGCTAAAGGCACCTTCTCCCTGAGCAAAGGGAGGTGTGAGAGTTTTAAAGAGTTAGATATGGTAGAGCACAGAGAAGAAAGCAAAAACAAAAACAAGGCTGCACACAGTGGTTCATGCCTGTAATCCTAGCACTTTGGGACGCCAAGGTCTCAAAGGAGGTTCAGAGTTTGAGACCAGCCTGAGCAAGAACCCCTCTCTACAAAAAGTAGAAAAATCAGCCAGGTGTAGTGTCATGTGCCTGTAGTCCCAGCTACTCAGGAGGCTTAAGTAGGAGGATCACTTGAGCCCTACTAGTTTGAGGTTGCAGTGAGCTATGATGACGCCACGGCACTCTAGCCCGGGCAACAGGGTGAGACCCTGTCTCCAAAAAAAAAAAAGTTAGATACAGGACAGGGTACAGGGTGGAGTTTCAGATGCACAGACGCAGTTCATGTAGACGCTTTTTCATACATTGCATGTACGGAAAATGGAGGAGTTTTTTCCTTAGGGGAGGATTTTTAGTATTATAATATGTTAATGAGCCACAGGTAACTGGAGGTCACCTACTCTGGTCTGCACCAGCTTTGTGCAGGTCTGGACTTCCTCTGGCATCCTACAGGGGGCCGTGAGCATATTTGGAGCACTTGGGCCATCTGGTGTCCTTGAACAGCTGTGCCTATAGATAAAGCAACTAAAGGAAAACTAAAATTTTCCAACTGTTCCATTGGGGCTGTCCTAGTGACAATGTTAAGAGGTTTTTTGGTTTTTTTTTTAAAGAAAAAACTAAATAGGATATAAACTTAAGAAAATTCCCCCCAACATATTTTTTAACCTCTCATAGAACTATGGTTAACTTTTACAAAATCTATTTGTTGTAGTTGTGTTGATCTCATCAACCTCCTCACTATTTGGAATTCTCAGGACCCAAAAGGTTCATAAACAAAGAATTAGTTACTTTGCTTTGTGGAATTGGTGCATGGAGACAGTGTTTCAAAACAACCTGCCTGTTAGCATCCAAATATATAAAGCTGCTTTGCTGTTATCAGTGTGAAACTGGCTCAAGAACAGAATACAGGGGTGATTAGAAATATGCTTTAAATGCCAGCCTAAGTTCTTTCCTTAAGAAGTGGCTTTGTTTTAATGAAACGCATGGGCTGCCCATCTGCTAAAATATGTGAGAGGGGTTAGGATATAGGGTGGGATGGTGTGTAGCCTGAGAAATTAAGGGCAACAATTATTTACTAGTATAGTGTACAAACCTGGCATTGTGGTGGGCTCTGGGGAAACAAGAGTGAATAAGATATAATCCCTGTCCTCAAGGAGCTTCAAGTCTAGGGCAGCGGTTCTGAATTTGGCTTCCCATTATAATTATCAGAGATACTTTTTAAAAATTCCAGTATCTAGCCTTACCCAAGCCAATTAAAACCAAAACCAAAATGTCTAGGGGCAGGACCCAGAAATTAGGGGGTTTTTGTTTGTTTTGTTTTTTGAGATAAGATCTCCCTCTATCACCCAGGCTAGCATGCAGTGGTGTTATCATAGCTCACTGCAACGTCAAACTCCTAGGCTCAAGTGATCCTCCTGCCTCAGCCTCCTCAGTAGCTGGGACTACAGGTGGGCACCACCACACCAGGCTAATTTTTTGTTTAAATATCAAAGTGCTACAGTGCTACAAATGTTTTTGGTTACATGGATTGCCTTTGTAATGCTTGAGACGGGGATATAAGTGTGCCGGTCACCCACATAATGTTCATTGTACCCATTAGGTAGGTTTTCACCCATATCCCCTCCCCCCTGTTTTCCATTGAGTTATACTTCCCTATGCACATGTGTGCTCATTGGTTAG